AGTCAGTGGAGTCCAAACTGAAAAATAAATATATTTTCTTAAAGGGAAGGTTCCGTTTCCTAAGCGAAGCCATATAACATGTCAAAGCTGTATTTTTTTTAATGTGTGAGAATATCTTTGAAATTATACTGGAAGTTAACGATAAAATATTTCAAAATGGAATAGCCAGATGCCTCAGTGGTTCAGAGAATTGGCTGCTCTTCCAGGGGTCCTTGAGTTTAATTCCCAGAATTCACATGGTGGCTCATAACCATCTATCTATAATAGCATAGGATGCCCTCTTCTGGCATGCATGTATCCATGCAGAGCACTCATATATAAAAATTATAAATAAATAAAATTTAAAAATATTTCAAAATGTTAGTTTTAAAGATTTACTTGTTTGTACTGTATGTGTCTGAGTATATTGAGTATAATATGCATGCAGTGTCTTGGTAAGCCAGCAGAGGGCATCAGATCCCCCAGAAGGGGAGTTACAGGTAGTTCTGAATAGTCTGATGTAGATGTTGAGGAACAAACCCAAGCCCTCAGCAAGAATAGAAAGTACTCTTAATGACTGAGTCTTCTCTGCAGCCCTACAACCAAGTTTGCAAAGTATGTCCTTCTTCTCCTCTTATGGTAATAAAATATCCTGGGGAAAGCAAGTTAAAGGAGAAAGGACTGACATGGCTCAGAATTCTAGTCTACAGTCCTTTAGGTCAGGGAAGTCACTGCAACAAGAGCTTGAGAGAATTAGTGACACTGTATCACAGTCGAGAACAGAGAGGAAAGCCGACCATGGTGGTGCACACCTTTGATCCCAACACTTGTGAGTTCAAGGCCAGCCTGATCTGCATAGACAGCTCCAAGACAACAGAGAAAGACACCATCTAAAAAAGCAAAAACATCTAATAAATAATTCAAGCCTCTGTCAAGAAGAGATCTGGCTTCTGTGTATGGTACAAGCATGTGTGTGTGTATGTTAGATTGGGTCTCTGTCATAGTCACTTTTGTATTGCTGTGATAAAACACCATGACTAGGGCAACTCATAGAAAGAAGGGTCCATTTGGGCTTATGGTTCCAGAGAATTAAATAGGTAAAACAAACGCCTGTCACCATCAAGGTGGCGGCAAGCACCAGGCATGGTGGCTGGAACAGGAGTGCTCATAATCAGAGAGGATGAATTGGAAATGACTCCAAACTTTTAAACTCTCCGAGCTAGGTTTCCTGGGTCTTAAGTGTCTTTCTTAACCCTTGCAGAGAGTTGAGAGGAACAAAGCTAAAAGTAGCTGGGAGTACAGGCCATGTGTCTCCCCATGTGTCCCCCCCCCCCAGGAGTACAGGCCATGTGCCCCCTCCTGTGTCCCCCCACCTCAGGAGTACAAGCCATGTGCTCCCCTCATGTTCCCCCCCAGGAGTACAGGCCATGTGCCCCCCCAGAAGTACAGGCCATGTGCCCCCCACCCCCAGATGTCCTTTGTCCCTGCAGTGTTCTCTAGAAATGAAGATCTTGAGAGAAGTTGATGCTGTCTTCACTACAGAATACTCACAGGTTTCTCCCACCTCCAAGTAGGAGACTTAGGGCTTTGTAAAAAGGAGTCTGCCGCTGATCTGGGACTTGGTGCAAGACTGTGGCTAAGACAGATTCTGGAGCTAAGTTGTGGATTGCAGGGGCAGTGAAGTTGTATAATCTCTCCATTTCCTGCCTTTCCTGTGATGTGGGGAAACAAGAGGCAGCCGTGTAGAGCTGGTATGAGAATTAAATGAGTTCTTGTTATGAGTAAAGATTGGGATATGTTTGCATGGATGGTCAATTCAAAATTTCTTAAAATATAGTTGACATACTTATATATGCATTATATCTTGGTTATTCATATAATAATATATTTGCTTCAGTTTTTTTTTTTTTTCCTGGGTAGTATCTATGTTTTCTCTGTTGTATTTGAGACTTTCTCTGTCCTACTGGCTTTGAAAATGTTGGTGTCTTTGGTTTGCTGTTCTAGTATTTTTCCTAAGGGGGGGGAGAGAGAGAGAGGAAGGGGGGTGGATTTGTTCGTTTGTATTTTTCAGTTTATATGTACATTTTTCTGTTTAGTTATCAAGCACATAGTTCACTGATACTGTTTCTATTTTGTAGTCTGCCTCCATGTTTGGACAGTTTCATGTTAGATAGTTTCTATTGCTAGATTCTCAACACTAACCTTCTTCCTCCTCTTCTTCTCTCTCTCTCTCTCGTTTTTTCTTTCTCTTTTCTTTCTCACTCACTCTTTCTTTCTTTTTTCCTTTCTTTCTTTCTTAACTTTCAAGACAGGGTTTCTCTGTGTAGCCCTGGCTGTCATAGAACTCACTGTAGAGACCAGGCTGGCCTCAAACCCCTACTGCTCCTGACCAGCTAACCTTTTCGTCTTCAATGACATTACAGATGTTAATGATGTCATCAGCAAGCCCCATGCCTGTAGTTCAGGTTTTCTGTTATGGTCCCCCATCTGCATTTAACAGTTAGCCTTTCATCCGGGATCTTGAAAGTAAGAAATTCCTTCACAACAGTAATGCCAGTGAAAGCCTTGCATCTCTTTTTAATCAGTGGCTATCATTGGTTTTTCTTCTCCTTGTAGGTTGCGTTTCCTGTTGCTTTTTTGGTTGGTTACCAGACAAAATTTTATCTTGCTGAGGGCTGCATATTTTTATATTCCTTAAAAATATTAACTCAGATACCACTTTTCCTGCCTCAGTCTTCAGGGACACCTTTCCTGCACACCGTCTAACATCCTTGTCAAGCTTGTGTCTGACTTGCTGTGCTGTGGACACTGAGTATGTGTGGCTGGACATCATCTCCCTTGTGCACAGCCGTTCTGTCCTTCACTCATTCATTGCTAAGCATCTCCTTGAAGGGCCAGGCCCTTGTCTTTTCAGTACTGAATCCTAGAGTACTGAACCCTTTGTGAATATGTTACATAAATTAACAGCTAAATGCCAGGCACTGTGCAGGCGCCATTCAGACACTGTTCCTTGAGTCCTGAGATGTCACTTTTCCAGGATAGCAAAGTGAGCCTAGGGTTTCCTTTGTAGCAAGGATAGTAAGAAAGTGTACCGAACTAAGTTCATTCTAGCTAAACAGCTTTCTTTCTAAGATGTTTGCCCAGAACCCAGAAGGAAAAAAAGTCATAGCAGCACTGGGTAAGTTCTGTATTTTCAATGGCAATGGAATAGAGTTAACACTTGTTATAAACTTCCTTTGTCCCTCTGCCTCCATTGTGAACTTAGTGTTTGTAAAGCGTGCCTATGGAACTTGAAGACAGAGTTGTCTTGAGCAGAGATGGGATAGTGTGCCTTGAGGCAGTTAGAGCAGGGTGTCTTACCCATGGCCTTCAAGAGGGGCAGTCTGAAGGTGACCCAGTAAGTTGAGCCTTACTGAGCCTTAGTCCTCTGGATTCTTCAGCCAATTAAAGATGCAGCCCCAAGTAGCCAGGCCTGGAAGTTTTGTCAGCTCAGCAGATGGAAGCTACTTTGATTTTTGCCACAGTGTTTTGATCAAATCAGGGACTTGATACTAAGAAAGCCCACCCAACCCCCAGTTTGAAGCTGCCTGCCTCTCTATCTGTTTCTGGAAATGTCTTTGTAGTTCTCTTTTTGACGGGGTCTTGCAAGAAGGATTATTTTCTTTAGTAAACTAATAAACAGAATGTTTTTCTGAGAAGTGATGAATAGATACCTATCTATCTATGCTTATTTGAAGCATATGCATATTTTAGGAGAAAGTTTTTTTTTTTAAATCATTAAAGTATTGAGGAAGAACTCTTGAAGAAATGAAATGCTAATATGAAATACTGGTTACATTGATAAAATCATTTCCAGTATATTTTTTTAAAGACAGGTCTCTTAACTGAGTGTTGCAGTGGAAAAATGTCTGATTCAAAGACACAAAACTACAGGTAGCATTTATGTGTGATAGTAAGTCTGACTTAAAATAATTATGTTGCATACAAAGCAGAAATACAGGGCCATGGGGCTCTATTTGCATATTGAAAGTATAGAACCTTTTATGTTAAATACAAATACTTACTGTATTTTGGATGAAAGGGCTTTTTTTTTTTTTTTTTTGTTATTGTTGTTGTTTTAACTCTTCGATGTCCTTTGTCCTTTTCCAAAGGGTTGATTAAAACTGGAACTCGATCTTGCCAATATTCTCTCATCTTGGTATTTACAAACTCTGACTCAGTAAAACGAGGGTGAGACAGAGATTCCAGAATAGCACCAGATCTTTATTTCCCACCAGGCACTCCTCCCTCCCCGAGCAGAGCCTTGTTTTTTCATGAGCATCTTTCAGTACTCCTCAACCCTGTTCCCAGTCTTGACCCACTGACCCAAGAATCAAGAAAATGTCATGTTAGTGCCTACTAATTAGTGTGCCCAGAGCACCCCTGCCTCTGGCCTTTCAACCTTCTGGAAGTGAGAGCATCGGCTGTCACTCACATCACACAGGGAAAATGAGCCCTCCCTGCATTTGCCCTGTTTTGCAAACAGCAGGATAAGCCCAGCTGAGACTAGAGATGAATATGCAGGTTAGGAAGAAATTAACCTAAAATGTGCTGCTGTTTGCATGATTGTCTCGGTGACACACTGCCTTCCTTGAAGTACCCAGTCAGGGTGCTGTGTGACCAGGCCCTCAGGGGTCTGGCTTTTGCAACACACTATCAGATCTGTACCATCATAGTCACTTGATGAAGTCATTTCAAGGGAAGGATATTCTCTGCATAAAAAAACGAATTAGCATTTCAGTGCATGGAAGTTTCCCATCTGTAGACACATTCTTGGAGAATGCTGCAGTGAGTGAGTGAGCATTTGGTTGGAGAGCTCATTAATCAGTGCTGTTGGGCCAGGGTCTCCAGAGCCTTCTGGGTTTGGGGGAGAATCGGCTTCTGTAATTAAAGGGATGAAATATATCATGGTCACAAACTTACCACATCAACAATTGAGGGTTTTGAACTAGCAGAATTAATCTCTTTAATTTTTTCCTTAGGTGTTTAAAATAGAAGTGCTAATGAATGGAAGAAAACATTTTGTTGAGAAAAGGTACAGCGAATTCCATGCCTTGCACAAAAAGGTAATATTTGGTTTCATGTTTTTCTCCTTTTCTCTGTATTGCCCAGGGTATAATGTAGATATAATATGAATTCTATTCTGTGTTCCTGAGAATAGTACTGTCTCTGCTGTGTCTGTAGTTTCTTTATAATGGCATTAATTTCCTTTTAAAATTGATTGGTCAGTCAGTGTACTTTGTTTTTAACTTTTAAATAAGTGGGTTTCCTGTTACAGTCACTTGCATGTACAAATCTGAGACAGTAATCTGTTTATAGTACATTGCATCAAATATCGAAGGTTTATAATGAGTAAGATTAACACTCTCTTCTGTCCAAGAAACTTCACAAAAAGAAAAGAAACACAAGGAATCACTCTACAGGAAGCAGTTTATTAAATTCAACTTAAATGTTGTGTACCTAGACAAGCTTGTGCATTTTTACATGTGTGTTCATATGGAGTACACGGAAGAGAATCTCCCTGCCTACAGCTATCCTCTGAGTTGTGAAGAGCAACTATATCAGAATAATTGATGCTTCAGTTCTGGGGTCCATTTCAAAGTCACAGATTAAAGAAACACAAATGCAAAAGAAGTAACTGACTTTCAGGAAGAAATGGTTACTAATGAATTGAAGATGAATACTTAAAAAAAAAAAAAAAAAAAAGACCTCCAACCTAGGGTTAATTTTTTGTGGTTTATAAATTATTTGGGTACTAAATATTTTCTAACTTGAAATACCTAATGAGATTTCCTGGAAGAACATCACAATGATGAGTCAGTTTAAATTTATAATTCTTCTTTCACATATCTGTGTCTGGGAGTGTATCGTGTGTGTGTGTATGTGTGTGTGTGTGTGTGTGTCTGTGTGTTTGTGAAGGTATACACACACATGTGAAATGTACTCATGAAACACATGCATACACAGAATGCATGTCATAATTAGATAGTTCGGCAAGAAGTTAGAAATGGGCTAAGTTTGGAGGATTTTTTAATTTTATGCCTTTTAATGTCTACGCAGTTCTTTCTGGGATACATCATTACATCAAAATGTCATAATGTGTTGATTCTGGATTAAAAGGCTCTTTAGAACTTTGTAAAAAGTTTTTTCCACTTTAATCACAGAATAGAGAATTAAGTCTAAACGAGAAGATTAGTGAACCTGATTCCCTGTTGTGTGTTTCGAGCGTTTTTGTCGGTTTAATTTTAGAGTCTCATTGTAACTCTGGCTGGCTTGGAACCAGTGCCTTCTCCTGAGTGCTGGCTAGGCTTGCACCACCAGGCTCACTCCCTTGCTTCTTTTTAGAAATGCTTGAAACTTTTCTGTTAGGGTGACAAACCACTTAATTAAATGAATTTAATTCTCCAATTAGAATTTCTTCAAGTTCAGGTTTCTTCCCAGAGAAACCATGGAAGTGCCTAAAGATTTCCATCAGGTGCTGCCAGGAAACTTGCTTTAAAAAGCACGAGCCAGGGGCACCTCAGAGAGAAACAAACGTGACATCTGGGTCCCTGGTGAGCCAAGTCCCTATAGCAGGTTGAGATCAGGTCTCTCTCTCTTCCTGGACCCAGCTTCCCCCTGCAGTCTGGCCTGGGCAGCTTGTCAGGTGCAAGCCCTTTCCTATCTTACTAGGTCAGCATGAAGTACTTCTCTATGACCAGCAAAGCCCAGCTGAGCTCTCAGATACTAAGGGACCGACCCCATAACAAACACAGCAGGGTGACTGCCAATTAGGCCGGCCCTGCCCATGGGGCAGTCCACAGACTCTACTTGTATGCAGGCTGACTCGCTCATATCCTGCTCTAGGACAGTTTTCCCCTCACTCTGCTCAGCAATCAAGCATTGTCAAAAGAAAAAAAAAAATCCTGTATTTTCTGGGACTTGTTCTTTTAATTTCCGCAGTCCCATTATTTATTAACGTTATCCAGTTTTTTGTAATGAAGCTTGTTAAAGTAAATAGAGTAGTAATTCTCAGATCTCTGACAGAATTCGAGACATCCTTATAGGGACATGGAGCTCACAGTTTTGGGGGAGGGGCAGGCTGTTGGTGCAGTGTGCTGTCGGACGAGGGACATTATGCCCCATTGAGAGGGGACAGCCACTGCAGTGTTAGAATTGGTGGGGAGGTGAATACAAAATGCAAATGCACACTTCAGGAGATGTAAAAGTTGAGGGCAGTATGTAACCTTAACTGTAAAACTGCCCAGAAGCACTGTAGCAGGTAAAAGTCAGTGGAGTGTCTTTGCAAGCTTTGAAAGCTTTAAGCAAGCTTTTTGGGGGAGGAGGTGCTCCCCACTGGGCAGCCTCACCGTTTAACTGCCCTTCTGCTACCCCCAATTTCCAAGTGTGAACTTGTGACAGGATATGACTGTGTTTACTAAAATGCTCGCCGGTAACTGTACTTATGTCATCTTTTGTTGTTGAATTTCCTTGAAACATTGGATTATCGCCACAGTTTATGACATTTGCTCCATGCCTGTCTTGGTTTTTCTTATATTTTGTCGTCTGCTCCCTGGATGGAAAGGGTTTCAGCTGTGCTCCTAAGATGGCTCCAAAATAGCATGTGGGCTGCTCCTGAGCACTTCATACCTTCACCCTGGTGGATTCATAGCTCTTCTTTGTGTCCTGTGGACACACAAATGCCACCCTGTTGATTGTTCTGGCTAATTTTGAGGAAGACACTATTGGAGCCTGACTGGTTAGTGTTTAGGAATGTATTTTAAAACCTTTGTCAGAATCTTTTTGTCTTTGTAAAAATCATACATTTGGGGGGGGGGGTTAAAGTCACATTTTTCTTTGCTTCTCTTGTTTTGGTGGTGATGAAATGATTGCTGGAATCCAACCCCAGGGCCTCGGCATGCTGGAGACTGCTCTACAAAGAGAGAGCCCTAGTTACAATTTTATCCCTGTATACTCATTATTTTCTTCTCAGAGTTACCATATAGCCCATGCTGGCTTTGAACTTACTGTGATCCTCCTGCTTTGGCCTCCCAAGGGCTAGAATTACAGGCATGAGCCACCCTCTGTGTGTAAAGCTAGGTCTTCTAGCAAGTTTGCCTGAGGAATAGGGAGTGTCCCACTGTCACATTCAAGTCCCAGCTTAGCTTCTACTACTCCTTCACAGCAAGTTATATTACCGAAAGCACTTCCCTGTCTAAGGATTTGGGTCTTGTTTTTTTTTTTTTAGTCCCCTGGCATATATTACCAAAGCGAATAGGACTGTTGAAAGCTCACAGAGTCTCATCAGCTTAGGACTTTATCACTCTGGAAGTTTTTTGCTTTAGGAAGCATCTTCGCTTAGATGAAGTGATGCTTTCTGAGGTGATTTAGGTGCACTCTTTATTTTATTTTATTTCTTTCATTATTCTGTTTCTGTGCTGACTGGCTTATTGGCTTGTTATAAAATATTAGCTATTTGCTGAAAGTGTTTTGCACCAAAACCCTTTAGTTTTGGTTATGATAATTATTTATGTGTTGTTTTGTATGTGCATCTGAGTGGAGTGTATGTCACCTTCGTGGGGGCCACAGGTGCTCATCAAATTCCTGGAGCTGGAATTAAAGTGGATGTGAGTCACCTGGCATGTGTGCTGGATCTCTGGAAGAGCAATACAAATTCTTAACCAATGAGCCATCTCTCCAGCCCCCTGAAATGCATCTTTCTGTTTTAGTTTGGGTGACTGTGTAATTAAAAAACAAGTTTTCTTTTCTTTTCTTTTCTTTTCTTTTCTTTTCTTTCTTTCTTTCTTTTTTTTAGAATCAATGTTTATTTTTTTGGGTTCTCTGTGTCCCTGTCTCTATCTCATGCTGAGGGCAAAGATGGAGGCTTTGTTTATTCAACATAGACACCCTACCACTGAGCTACATCCCTGCTTTTTTTCCATTTTGTGATGAACTCACTATGTAGCTCGTTTCTGATCCCAGACTTATGATCCTCCTGCCTCGCGCTTTAATGATGGGATCTGAGCTGGGATCATGTATCCACCATCACATCTGGCTACCCTTGGAGATTTGTCATTTCTTTTAGAACTGTTCGAAGTGTTTGATTCTGTTTTCTTTTAGTTTGAAAGACGAAGAAAGTGAAGATAGCTCATACCGCGGGACACACTGAATCAGACTGCCTGTAATGGAGCCTAGGAATCCACATCTTATGCCAGCTCCCCAGAGGATCTAATGTTCTTGAAGTTTGCAGTTCCTACTGTGAATTATATTTTTAAAGACATCACTCAGATACAGCCCTCCACCACACACACACACACACACACACACACACACACACACACACACCACATACACAGATCACACACTCACTACACACACCACACACTATACACCACATACATACACCATACCACATACACACATACACCACATCACATATATCACACACACACCACATAACAGATCACACACTTACTATACACACCATACACTATACACCACATACACACACCATACCACATACACCACATACACCACACACACACACACATACACACTAAGCAGCTCAAGGTTCTGAATATTGAAGGTCCTCCTGACCTTTCTCTTACCAACGCTTTCCAGAATGGCACTAGGTCCTGTCAGTGCATTCTTCCACATTCCTGCAATACGCGCCCCTTGGGTTTTCACTTTGGTTTTTCACTGTCACTCCAGATCGGAAATATTTTATATTGTGTCAACAGTCTGCTCTTGGTCTTCTTACCTTTTCTCGACTATATGTCCGTTTGCCTTTGCCTTCATTTCCAGACCTCTCTCTTGCTCTCTCTGATGGGGGCTTGACTTGTCTACAGTTTTGTAACAGACTCCCAGAACAGTGTTCTCAAATCTTGCATTAGTTTCCTAGTGCTCTTGTAACAAACAACAACACAAATAGCAACTTAAAACAAGGCACATTTACTACCCCGTGGTAAGCGGGTGGACAGGGCTGCATTTCCATAGGAGAGTCCATTTCTGCCCTCTGTAGCTCCCAACAGCTGCCCACATAGCCCCTTTGCATCCTGCCACCGCCCTCCCTGCTTCTGCCTCCCTCATGTCATCTCTTGCCCTCTCTCTGATCTTAGTAGTTCTTCTCCCCTTTGAGGTAACATTGGGCCCATCCAGGAGAGCCATTCCTTATCAACATCCTTCATTTGAATCCCACCTGAAAAGCCCCTTTCCCTGCAGGAATGCCTCTCACAGGGTCTGGGACTTAGGGCCCTCTTGTGTCTTTGAAGGCATTATCATTCTGTTCACTTAACCCTCTGTAGGCCAACCCTATTTCTGCTGCTTCTCCTAAGAAAAGTTCGTGTTAGCCACACCCAAGTGCATCCTGTATAGATCCACACTTCCCTGTCTTTGCCAGGCTAAACGCCCATCATCTGCCCATGTGTTAAAAACAAAGCAGGACATTCAAGTGCTTCAGTGCTTGCTGCCTGGTTTCTACTCTCCTCTTTTTCCTTGAAACTCCTCTTCTATTTAACATACACAATTGAAATTATATCTCAACACAATTGAAGCTTGGTTATCCCATATCTCCAGCTGGATTCCATGTTGTCTGAAAGCTCTTGATTCCCCCCACATGCTAAAATGCCAGGTGTATATTGCTATGCCTGCCCCCTTCCCCCAAGCCTTATTCTTTGTATTTTTCCACAAGGTTAATTGCCTGGTATATGGGATACTGGAGAACATCATGCGTGTTCTGGTATGAATGTTCATGTTATTGGAAATCTGACCCCAGACCCCTCTAATCCTGGTTCCTTTGTGGCTTCTACTGTGCTAGGATGAGGTAGAGGATGGCAAACAAAACAAGACTCCATCCTGTTCTTTGTAACAAGGTGTCCCCTGAGGCTCAGGTATAGGCTCTTGTGATGGGTCACCCTTTAAGTATGTGAAGGGCCCAGCCCCATGCCCCAGTCACCCCTACTGCTGCCAAGTAATTCATCACTTTCCATGGCCATGCTTGCAAAGAGCTATGCTGTCCCAGGCCCCAGACCTCATGCATGACAAGAAACTCTTCCCCACACTGCAAACTTCTGAGCATATTTTCTCCTTCATGCCTTCCCAGCTGTTTTCTGTCAGTTCCAGCCCACCCTTCTGTTCACAATGTTTTCAGTGAAACATGGGGCTGGTTCATTTTCAAATTAACTATCCCATCTTTTGTTACTGTCTCCTTTGGGTTTGAGTCAAATGTTGCGTTCTCTTCTATTCAATTTAATGAAGCACACATTTCAGATGAGCCAGAAAGCTGCTGCATGGGATCGAACTGTGTGAACAGCACCCATGTGCCATCCCTGAAAAAAAAAACCCTGAGAAAACAGGGCGACAGTATGTAGGAAGGGTTATCTCTTGCCACCCCGCAAATGTTTCTACTGCTTTAGATGCTTTTGTTTCCATTTCTTTTTATTCCTGTCCTTCATAAGAATGTCTCTGATCCTCTCCGTTAACTTACTAGGTTTTTCTGTCCATGTCATCTGTGAGTGAGTCTTTTCTGTCTGTAATAAGTTCTCAGTGGGTTCTAACAACATAGGAAGGGAAAGGGAGCGGCCACACACTGAAAAGGTCTCTGTGTGTGTGCATGCGCTCGTGTGTGCCCGAGCACTTATCTGCGCACATCAGAAAGGTCCTTTGCCCGGATGCTGCGTAGCTGGACAGTTCATCATCAGATGAAGGAGACAAACAGTATTTATCTTGCAAGCAGCTGAGCCTTGCTGGAAACATATTGTCTTGGGTTTGTCTTTCATCTAAAGTCTTGCTCACCTCCAAATGTGTCATGGATCTAGACTCTGTGTTGATCAGCTCCCTCCATACCCTCCTGTAAACAAAAAGGGAAAAAATGTCTTCAGTGCTGTGTCATCAAGATGCAAAGACAAAACCGGAGAGGAGACAGACAGTGGAGCCTTTGTGGGGGGTGGAAGTCAGGTTGTAAGGCTTGCGCAGCTGTCTTGCCTGCCCTGTGGGGTAGGTCTCACCTCTTCCACACTCACTTCCGGCCCTCCCAGTATCCCACTGCAGGCGCAAACCTTCCAGTCACAGTTATAGAGTCTCCATGGACCCGTCAGGCTTACTGGCTGTGATCGAGGACAGCCATAGTGTGATCTTGTCCTAGGCTTAAGTCTGGGCTCACGTAGGCAGACTTCTGCGTGAATCTCAGGAGTGATGTTTTGTATTGCTGACTGTCCATCAGGGGCAGCTCTTAGCTGCTAGAGGCCATCTCAAGCCCTAGCCACTCCCTCAAAGCCATCAGTCTGCTAAGACCGAGCTGTACAGAAGGTAACCATGGAAGGGACTATCCCACTGTAGTCCCAGGTTTTCCCACACCCACATGAAAGGAGTTAAATAGGTTGTCAACACCATCTGGCCAGTCCATGTGTTCTGCCCACCACTGCCCTTTTACTGTGTTAGGACTTGACTCTTTGCTGTCTCCAGAACTCCTTTCTCCACACATGACCTTAGCCAAAAGGTTGCGAAGTGATGAATATCTTTTCTCTAACTGGCTTGAATAATAACGCTTGAACAAATCCTAAGTCCTATCCAATGTCCCTGTGCTATCTTCTCTTTGGAAGCAGTCTTCCTCTGGGAGTCTCCAGTGACTTCAGGCTCCAGCCAGATTCCAAGTCTCTGGGCAGATGTGTCCAAGAGGCCCTATAATTCCCTTCCTACTAGTTCTGATGGTAAGAAAGCATAGAGTGGGATTTGCAGTGGATTGTATCTATGTAGAGGGAAGAGGCAAACATAGGCCCAGCCACCAAAGGGCTGCTGTTTGAATGCTCTTTTCTCATAGTGCTCCTAAGTTTCAGCCTAGAGTGGTTATTGGTGAACATCTTCGTAAATGTGAAAAGAAATTTTATTATGTTTTTGACTGCACAGGTTTAATCGCACATCTTCTCATGGATGAGAAAATGTTCTTTCTCTGCATGTTTTACAAAGGGGCCAATTAATAGGTCTTCAAGATTTTAGTTAGGACACCAGGGCTTGTCCATTTGTAGAGGTCACTTACGACCCAGTATTGGAAGTGTAGTAGCTTAAAGCTGCATGAGTTTATTCTCTCATGCTGTTTGAGGTTTCAGAGTTTGAAATCAATTTAACCAGGCTAAAACTGAGCTGGTCAACAGAGTTGCTACCCTTTTAGAGGCCCTGGGCAGATCCATTGCAGCTCCTAGAGACCTTGAGCAGATACATTCAAGCTTCTAGAGGCCCTGCACTAACGTTTTCAGTTTCTAGAGGCTGTTGAGGACATCATTGAAAGATAGCCACCTAGTTAGGATTTTTTTTTTAATAACAAAATGTATTTACTTTTATATTTTTATATAAAATATAATATGGTGATTAAACCTAATGGACATGTTAAGAAAGTGCTACACTGATAAATTACATTTCTGTCTTGACACAGAATCTTTCTTTGTAGCCCAGGGTACCCCTCCAAATTGTGATCTTCCTGCCTTAGCCTCCTAAGTGCCGAGATTGTGGGTATATACCATCATGCCTTGTACTTTTAACTTCTGACCTGTAACCTCTGCCCTCTTGTAAGGTCCTCATGTTTGCATTGAACCTGCCCACATAACCCAGGACAATCTCCCTGTTACTAAACCGATAATTTCACCAAACTTGGGGGGAAAATCCCCATTGCTATATACGGAAACACTTCAGGTTTAGGACTTGGCACTTCTTGGAGATGTTATTGTAGCTCTGACTTAACTTTGAGTAACTCTCTTTAAAAAATAAGTTTTGATTTTATGTGTGTGGGTGTTTTGCGTGCGTGTGTGTCTGTGTACCACATGTGTGTCTGGTGCTTGAAGAGGTCAGAGCAAGGTGTCCAGACCCCTAGAATTGGGGTTACAGATGGTTCTGAGCCACTGTGTGGGTTCTGGGAATTGAACACTGGTCCCCTGGAAGAGTGTCTAGTGGCCTTAACCATGGAACCATCTCACCAGCCCCAGGAAAAAAATTGCATGAGGAGAGCTAGCAGCTATGCTTCTGGATTGTTGGAAGGACTAGCCTTTGTGTATATTTTAAAATTCACTTCATTTCAGAAATCTCAAGACCCTCTCCTACGTGTTATGCTCCAGTTCATATGACATTTCTGGGAACATTGGTCAGAAATGACCATACTTTGTTCTCTTATGTGAAAAGTATATGTGGAAAGACTTTCCCTTTCATCAGAAAACTAGATTAAAAGATTGTGTTAATGTTGCTGTGAAATAAATTGATTTTTTAAAAACTATCTTACTTTGCTTTCCTTTTAGCTCAAGTATTAGACTTTTAATTTTTCAGAAAAAAAAAGCCTCATTTTAAATCTGAAATAACCACCATAACAACTATCAAACATAAAACTCATTTGTCCGGAAGCCTGAACAATCAGGACACCTAAGTAAGAAATGTTTGAAAAACATTTTGGCATATTTAGCCATGGTTTATTTTGCTTAGTTGGCTTTTCTTTCTTCCAAGTGATTTTATTATAATTAACAGACATCTCATTTTCCTTCTGTCTTGGAAGCTTAAGAAATGTATAAAGACTCCAGAAATCCCTTCTAAACACGTCAGGAACTGGGTCCCCAAAGTCCTGGAACAACGGCGGCAAGGCCTGGAAACGTATTTACAGGTAAGAGATGTTTAGCTCTTCAATGTAACGGCGCCTAAATCATTGTCTTACTCTGTTGGCTCAGAATATAAGAGTGTGACAAATACTGACCAACAGCTTGAGATTCCAAGATACAGGCTGTTTTCATTTACAAATATGGCTATCAGTTGGTTCATTTAGCTTTTATTGAATTCCATTTAAAGTTGATTATGCGTTGGGTTTCATTGGAAGAATGCTTTTGAAATGATCTGTCCATCTTTAAAGTCAGCTGTACAGATTAGTGTGTTTTAGATGAAATAATTCTGTTTTCTCAGCCCTTGGGGTTTAGGCGTTCAGGTGCTAGTTAAGAGTCCTGGGAGAAAAGCAATCTTAAGTGGGCAGGCTAAGATATGTGTTAAATCCTACAAAGGCTGTATGGAAATTGCCCCTGAGAAAGTGCCAGCTTCTTTGGGAATTAGAATATATATCTGGAGCAGTGCTTCTCAACCTGTGAGTCATGATCCCTTGGGGCGAATGATCCTTTCACAAGGGTCACTTTAGACCATAGGAGAACACAGATATGTACATTGCAATTCATAACAGTAGTAGAATTACAATTAAAAAGTAGTAACAAAAGTAAGTTTATGGTTGGGGGTCACCACAACATGAGGAATTGTATTTAAAGTGTTGCAGCATTAGGGGTGTTGAGAACTACTGGTCTAGAATGAATGCATCAGGAAGTCCTACACTTCCCCTTTGGTGGACAAACAGAACTGAGTGAGATAAGATCAAAGTCTCCTACCCACAAGTGGCAGGGAAGGCAAAGGAGAGAATAAGACACTGTCTACTTCTGTGGATTTCACAAACCCCCCTGAAGTCTCGGGTAACTAGTCCATAGAGTCCCCATTAAGCACATAGATGGGCAGGGCAGGTACAGAGGCAAACAGGCCCAAATGGTCATGCGTGCACTCACTACATTTAGTCCTGTATGAGAAGTGATGTGTGGAGGTGAGCATAGCTTGGTGAGGAAAGGAACCCTGCCTCAAAAAAAAAAAAAGGATGCAAATATATCGAGCATACCTATAAGCTTTGGGATGAAGATGTGTGGAAGTATTCCTATAACACCAGCACTTTGGAGGTTTGGGCAAGAGAATCAGAAATTCAAGGCCAGCCAGGTCTGCACAGGGAGACCCTGTCTCAAAAAAAAAAAACCAAACAAGACAGGAGAGCCAGACTTCATGTAAGAGTTAAGAAGAAGACTCATCCTTCTAAGATGGTTACATCAGAGAAAAATTGGCAGCATAGCCATGTTCTTCTGTCATTGCCCTTGCGGCCCCTTCAGACTTTAGGAACTCCAGGGTGGATCTGGCAGAGGAGAGAAGCTAGGAGCCATGGAGTTAGTGCGCCTGTCCCCATACAGAACTCTATGGAGGACTGGGTGTGAGTCTCTGATGGCTGATGCCCGGTGATAAAGTGGAGGATACCTTCTTGGTGGAAACAAAGATGCCAGGTGTCAGTTCCCAACCTTGTCCTAGTCTTTCGAGGAAGGCTGCCTGGGCAAAAGAGGCAGGAGCTCTGGGGAGGGTGCTGGAGAGTTTTGTTTTGGGGCTTGGTGGAGGGATTCTTTGCTGTGTCTCTAGGCATGAAAGCCTAAAGGAAACTGGAATGGCAAACCCCAGGAATGTGTGTGGCCTTCTCTGAGATTCTAAGGGTAGAGCTATCAGGATTTCATAGCTTCAGGCAATAGTTGAGAGCAAACAGCAAACCAAAAGCCGAGAGAAAGCGACCTAAGAAATTGTGTGCAAAGGGTAGAAGGCATGCTCTCTGTAATTAGATGGGATGGGTAAACAGCACACTTTCATTTGTAGGCCAGATTTTCCACAGATATTGTATATCTTCAGGCTTTAGCTCTGAAGAAAGCTTTATCCCCCTCCGCTCCCCCCCCATCGCATTTGACACATGACTTCCATTACTCCTCAGTGTAAACATTTTAAGTTGTTTGTGCTTCATATGTAAATATGTGGGCAAAATCATCTGGCACAGAGGGGAGCTTACAATGGCTCTCAAATTGAGCTTAGAATTTTCTATTCTCAGAAACGGACTTGAAAGATGTGGTCCAGGGCTGAGCGTACTTGCTTCCTGCTGTGTGTTTCAAATTCATGTCATTCAGTAAGAGCCTTTTCTTCTCCTGTGGGCAGTGGGAGCAGGGTGGAGGTTGCTGTGAGGTGCAAAAGTGAAGGGCAGAGCCTTGACTGTGGACATTGTTTACTTTTTATGTCTCCATGGGATACACAATATTTTTGTTTCTCTCACTGCCTACCTGACTCCAGGGAGAGTCCCATTCAACCCCAGGACCAGGCTGGACCCCAGGGAGTAGCTGCCACCAGCCTGTGCTGCACAGTATGACACTGGCCCGGCCCGTGGCCTGACCAAATACTACTGTATCCAAGCCTTGCTCCCAAGGCCAGGGGGCCTAGATTACCCACTCCAGCTCATTTGCTGCCCGTCAGAGTTCAGAGTCACCCCTGTGGTGGTCTGTCTTTTGACAAGGTCAGGACAAATGACCCTTCTTTTCTGGAGGACAACTGGTCATCTGTGACTGCAGCCCCATACATTACATGTGGTGGCCCACACTGCTGTTTTCATTAGACTTGGGGAGACTGAGATCAGAGCCTCTGAAACCTGTGTCACCTTCCTTCTGAACTACATTTGTCAAAGGGCTCGGAGTGGACTTTTATTTTCCTATTGCCCAATATGGGCTCTTCTCATTATACACTGGTGATTTTCTAAATTAGGGAAAAATTTTCACCCTTAATAGTTTTATATAGATATGTAATAGTAGGTACAAGAAAAGACTTCATAGTGATCAATATTACAGTTTATCAGACTGATTCTTCCCTGATTGATCGGATAGATTGAGTAGTTGATTGGTGAGTAAATGTTGTTGGTTTTTTTTTTTTTTTAAATTGTGTGTGTGTGTTTGGGTGTGTGTGTGCACGCATCCACTTATCTCTATGTGTACAATGTGTGCAGTAGCCCACAGAGACCAGAAGTGGGTCCCTGAAACTGGAGTTGCAGGTGGTTATGAGTGGCCGTGAGGATGCTGAATACCAATCTTCTGCAAGATCAGCAAGTGCTCTTAACCACCAAGGCATCTTAATAACCTGTGATTGAAAAAATTTTAAAGTTGAATATTCAAAATTCTAGCAAATAATACTCCCATTTCCTGTGTTAAGTCCTCTGGCTTAAAGGGGGGTTGTTTCTTTGCTGGTTGTTGTTTGAAACAGGCTGACTGGTCCATGCTAGCATTGGACTCCTAGATACAAACCAGTTTTCAGCCTCAGTCTGAGAGCAGCTTTATGGGATGTCCTGGTACATTTAAGTAAGAGAGTAACTTTAAAGAAGAAATGTAAAGTTACCCATTTTCAAAATTAATTTTGTTCTGAGAATTAATCAAAAGAAGCAAAACCTTCCTTACTATCTATATTTTTCACCCTCTTTCCACTCTTGTCTGGTCACTAATAGTTTGAAAGCGAGAATCAAAGAAAACCCACACTTAACCATTGGTTTGGCTGTTCTTTTGTTCAGAAGCGAATGGTCTACTAACCTCCAAGCCATAATTTAGAAATAGCATCAGCATCAATTTAAGTATCATAGGTTATTTAAAAATACAGAGGCGTAGGATAGTTACCATTCCTCTGGCACATTTGTAATGGTAGGTTTCTTTAAAACATTTTATAGTGCATTTGAAAAAGCCACCTTGTACTGGGCATGGCAGCCTGTGTCTATTGTCCCACATATTCAGGAGATTGAGACAGGAGCCACTTAAACCTAGGAGTTCTAGATCAGCCTAGGGAGCAGAGCTTGAACCAGGAGAGAAGGGAGAGAAGAGGGACAAAATGAGAGAGAAAGAGCTACTCCATGTTCAGTTAAGAATGTCTCATCTTCACCGCGTGGGGGATGGAGTAAACATTTCAAATAAAAGTAGCGTGAAAGGCTGGCATGGCGGCAGTGATCATGGCACTCTGGCTAGGGTTTGGGTGGGACTTTTACTGCTTTGGCTGCTGATCTTTCAGCTTTATGTCCTGATGATCTAGCAGTTTCCCCTCCTCCCTGAGACCTAAATCTTAGCTTGTTTTATAGGTGTGTCCTGTTTTCAGTTGAATTACGTGGGAAGAATAAAGAAAAGTATATTCCTATCTTTTTGGAAGTGAAGATCTATTTATTGATTTTTAAAAATTATTATTATTATTAGTAATAGTACTAGTAGTAGTAGTAGTATTTCTAATTTGTCTTAGTGCATAGATGCTTTGCCTGCATGCATGCCTATATATCACTTTTGTGCCTGTTGCCTTCAGAGGCCAGAAGAGGGCATCGGATCCCTTGGGACTGGAGTTACAGATAGTTATGAACCACACTGTGGGTGCTGAGAATTGAACCTGGGTCCTGTGGAAGAGCAGCCAGTGCTCTTAACTGCTGAGCCATCCCTCCAGCTGTATTTATTTTTGTGTATGTGTGTAGATAAGGGCACATGCCATGCTTGCCACAGCACACATGTAGAAGTGGAAGGATGATCTTGGGCATCGGTCCTTGCATCCAATCCTGTTTGAGGCAGGACTCTTTTGACTTCACACTGAAGACTTCAGGCTGACAGCTTGCCAGAAAGTTCCTTGGGATTCTGCTGCCTCTGCTTCCATACTGTAGAAGTGCTGGGATTACAGAAATGCATTCCTATGCTCAGCTTTTACATGGGTTCAGGAGATCCAAGTCAGGTGTCACGCTTGCACCGCAACTGCCTTTAACCACTGAACCATCTTCCCATCTGTGGTGGTTTGAAAAAAACAACCCCCAAAGGGAGAGGCACTGTTAGGAGGTGTGGCCTTGTTGGAGGAAATGTGTCACTGTGGAGGCGGGCTTTGAGGTTTCATACATCCCCAGTGAGATAGTTGGCTTCCTGTTGCCCCTGGATCAATTCTATATCAAGATGTAGAATTCTCCAGCACCATGTCTGCCTACACACCACCATACTCCCTGCACACCAC